AATGACAGATAGTTTCCGATAAAGACCCTGACACCTGGTTAATCTTTAATTACAACATATTATACAATTAATAATATACAATTACGGAATATGTCAGCCTTATCAGATGGAACAGTAATGATAAATTAGAGAGCGGTTCGAACTAATTTCAAAGGAAACTAAGGATGAACACTGAACGAGTGGCTGCGTTGTTGGTTGAACATTTGCAGTTTTCGATTATAGTAATGTTCTATATTCAGCGTCATGCTCGTCGTAAAAGAGGAAATTTGGGAAATATAGCAAGTAGGCACAATGCCGACTCGCTGTTAGAAGGCTATTAGCCAGCTGTTACGCTAACAGCCCTCTAATAGCCGTCTAACATGAACAGCTAGTCGGCATTTCCGGAAGTATAATGGGGACTTGGTATTCATAACCAAGAGTCTTCTCTGACCAAGTCTCGCAAGACCAAGTCTCGTACGACCAAAGGTATAACACAACGATAGGAGACCGGATAACGAGGTAGTGGTACACTTTGCAAGAAATTAGAACAAAAATATCTATTTTAGGCACAGCAGGCTGCAGTCGGCAGGCTGTGTCGTGTATGCACAAAGGACGTAAATCACATTGTATTCACACTCTGAAATTCCTTTGCAGGAAGCCATAGAGGTAAATCTTGGAATATGGCATCGCGAAAAATTTAGACGAAAGTCTTATTTTAGCGTTGAAGATTAAATAGTTTGAATATTTATAACATGTAAAGAATGTTTATGACGAAAGGAATGAGATCTAACAGACAGTATTATCTGCTGGTCAAAGAAACGCTTGATAAATCTGAGATCGTCAAGCCAGAAGAAGTCTTGGATCTCGCAGTAATTTTCTCCGTATTTCCAGCCGAACTAGAATCAATATTTTGCTTACTGTCACAAGCTACAGTTCCGCCGCTCAACAGTTCTGAATCCACAGATTTATGTTCTGAAACTACAGATTTCTGCTCGGTATTTGCCTCAAATCTCTGAAGCCGACTCTCCCGTATCTTGTTCAACTTTCCACCCCTAGTAGTTACCGACTCACCAGCGAAACTATGTCTCCACCTGGGTCTAGCTCCCTTTATCTCCTGAACCCTGGAGTGCCTCCTCAAGCTTTCCTCCCAGGAGGTGTTAGTGAGTCTCTCCAGAGACAGGGTCCTCCGGAGGGTTGGTCTCCGGACTCTGGAGATACAGTAAGCAGGGTGGTAGCTCCACTCTCCGGCTATACAAACCTTGTAGAATCCTGTGAGCAAGGTTATCTCCTCTACTTTACTGTTGTCCAGGAAGAAATACTTCCCGTCTTTAAACACCTTGTAGTTGTAGTCCTCTGGTGTTCGGAATGAAGCTGATCTAGCTAGAGGTTTAGTGGTGTTGATTTATGCGGGAGCACAGCCTTCTTTGAAGGTGGAGTTTTGTTCAAATCAGGTTTCATCTGCTGCTCAGTCTCATTAAGTGTAAGCTCATCCATCTCAGTAGAGTCAGTTACACATATAGTATCACTGTTCAGCCACATCGGGAACATCAGACCTGACTTTACCCTCACAGACTGGTTCAGGCCAGACCTAACAATAAAGACGTTGAGAACCCCAGGATCAGGTCGAACCATCTCAGCAGGGAGGATGTACTCGCCCTCTTCAGAGAGGACCCGGAAATGAGTAGGAGCAATGACCACCTCCTCTCCTCTCTGAGGGTCCCACACCACTGGCAGGACTAGGTTCATGTGGACCACATACTTCCGGGAGAGGTGGAGGACTTTGTAGTAACCTGGCTTGGTGTGGATGGGACGGACATGTTTACCGTTTAGTAAAACGAATTTCCCTTCGATAAAGACACTGTATTGTAGGACATCTAGTTTTGTACTAGTTGCAGATACTGTAGCATCGGACATCGTTTTCATATTCTGTTGGAGAGAACAATCAACAGATTCATCGGCAGCTTCTTTCTCGAAAAACTCGACCAGGTCTCTTCTGACTCGGACGTTTTTCTCCGTCATCTTCACAACGTAAGTTCCAGGTTTACGGATGCTCTCCTTGACTTTGTCAATAGGAAACACTTGCCACTCTCCACCAACGTACACTCTGGCAAACCTTCTCAATTCAACTGTCTCTGTGACTGAATTTACAGTGGATTTGACGTCATGTTCAATTTCAATCTGAGCAATGTTCGCTTTTGTAACTTGGAAGACATTTCCTTCGTATTCAACATCAAACAATTCTCCGATATCTGACTTAGAAACGGAGCTCTCTGGAACTTCTGCCCAAAATTTGGCACCCGGATCTTCATCTCTGGGTAGCAGGACATGGACAGATTTTGGATCTCCCTCCGGTACTGAGTGGTTCACATCATTTTGGGACCTATTCCCAGTGGATTTTGGGGTAGAAACATCTTTTGGAAAGAGATCTCCTCCAACTCCTACAGGAATCTGATTTTTTGTCGCATTTTCTTTCCGATTCAAATGCCGAATCAGCTTAACTTCATCAGCATGAACATAGAATTCACTACCTTGGTGAGTGACTTGGTAAATCAGTTTTTTGTTAGAACGTTGCTGTGTACACTTGATGTCCTTTCCAAGAACCCGGACCCTAGAAACACCACGTAGGACCTGATAGGATCGATCAGGGATTATCTCCGACAGTTCACCAGCTGTGTTCCCCACTGACTCAATAGTGTAGGAATCACAATCACTCAGATCTTCTTGAGACGAAGATGTTGGATCAGACTCGGAGTAGCCTATATTCAGAGTGTTAGAAGAGTTAAACTCCGTGGTTGAAACTTCAGTGTTTACAATATCTGCCTCAAAGCTTTTCACACTGTTAGAAACCTGTCCCACTACAGAAGATTCTAATCTCTGGATAGGGATGTTGGAGGTTGTAGGAGGTAGAGGTTGATGTGTGGCCGAGATGCTCTTGGTGTTATCTCTATAGTTGAAGTGAGTTGCTATAGCACCATGGTAGTAAGGGGGCAGATAGGAACTGGAGGCAATCGTGTCAGAAACAGGCACTTGAACACTCGGCATTGGAGCAGGTTGTGTTACGTTGAAGTTTTGCTGAGCTGATTGACTGTTTGAGGGTGCTCTGTAGTGATTTGTAGGGACTGAGTGGGAATGAGGTTGTACAGGTCGGTGTTGGGAGGTCACAGATGCTGGATAAGAGTTAGCTGGATATGGATGGTTGATTGCCACTGATGCTATGTATGGGTTGGGGTTGATTGCCACAGAATGAGACATTGGTGCAACTGTGTGGTAATGAGGTGGTACAGATTTCGGACACTCAGAGTTATAGGTTGCAGGCACTGAATAGTAATTTGATCCTGCTAGTTGAACAGGAAACTGAGATTTGTGCAAGTTTGTATTCCTCTGATGGTCTACAGAAGAATTCGTCGTAGCACCTACCCGTGTGGCTTGCGAGGGAACTGGTGCGAGGTGCATTGATGCAAAGCGGTGCTGTCTGTCATTAGGGGCGCGTATTGGCTCTGTTGAGGGGATGCAACATCGGACTGGTTTGGGGTTGTGGAGTAAGTATGGTACTCCTGAATCTGCTCTTGTTTATTGATGAATTGGAAGCTGGTCCATGGTGATGAGAGGAGGTTGGAATTCTGGAGGAGGTAACCCGGAGTGTCGGACTGAGTGTTGAGGATGTTGAACTAGAGATTTGGAATAGGAGGTGGCATTATATTGCTTATGAGGGGGAGGTTGAGCAGAAGTTATATGATCAGCATTATGATATGTCTGCATGCTGCCCCTTCCCTGGTAAGGTGGGTGTAAGTGTTGTGTCTGTATGTATGTATTTTTAGCGGGGTACTGGGACCGGACTTGAGTTCTCATCGCACTGAATTGAGTAGAAGTCATTGGGTAGACAGCATTCATTTCTAACGGATGAGGTGGAATCTGCTGATGGTATAAGGGATGCAGGAGATGATTTTGTTGATGTTGAACTTGGTGTTTTTGTTGATAATTTTGTAGATGATGCTGTTGATGTTGAACTTGGTGTTTGTAGTTTCTGTTAGTTGTTTGATGGAGGGACTCTCTGGCATCCCTCTGCTCCTTTCCTTCAACACCACTTCTTTTAAGTTCACTTCCATGATTTTCTCTCCCAGACAACATGTCTATTGTCTGATGTTCGTTGAAAACTTAACCTAACAAGAGTTTTGGTTGTTAAAATCGAATGAGATTGATGGTTGGTGAGAGTTAAGCTTGAATCAAATGAAATTAAGTGAAATTTTGATATAGAAATGGTCTTTCCGACTCAATAGACCAAATATAAAGAGCAACAAAAGATGAAAATCAGAAAAAACTAAGAACATTAAGTACATCAAAGGAGAGAAGAAACGATCAATACACAAAAAATGAGACCGCAACATACTAGGTATTTCCTGGTTAAATTGAGGTTAATTAATTAATATAATAGACTACTGGGAAAATAATACAAGAGCTTTTGTAATCATGTGTTTGCAGACAAGCAAATAATATGGTCGAGGATATATCTGCCGTACATTGTATCTCGTGGAGAAGAATTCATTGAAGTTACGATGTTAATCTAGCAAATGAGTTCAAACAACAATTCAACAATAACCAAGATGTCAATAAATTTACCTTCTATTCAATAAGCGATGGTTTTTATACTTGAGTACTTGTATAGTTGTGTAGAGATTTCTATAGCCTGAGTTATAGTTCTATCTTGAAGAGTATTTCCTAGCATCCGCGCGACCAAACTTAGTAAACTTTTGTACACAAAACTTAATGGGGGGGGAGAGATATTTAAAGCTTAAAGTTAAACCGATCAAAAAACTATTGTAATTTTATCAAATATTCAATAACAACTTGTTTATTATCATAATTAAATAATAACCAAACATAACTCATAAAAGATGACAGAACAAACCAGTTCATATCAGGAAGGGACAAGGCAGGACAAGTCACAGGACAAGACAGGACCAAGTACAAAACAAACAAGCACATAATATAACAATATCTGAACAGGAAACAAACTAACTAACCGATATCAGACATAGATAAGACGAGCTGGTCAGCCCTGCTCTCGTCAGCTGTCTCTGTGTTCAGCCCACTACTCTGACTAGTCTCGAATATGTTGGGGATCATCACTGACTCTCTGCAGTCTCTACTTATCAGCTGGGATATTTTCTCTTTTAGTTTCCTTCCTCCTTTTTGGCTTATACTTCATTACAAAAAAGGGACACATCACACAATAACTGTGACAAAGATGCGAAGAACAAATTCTGGAAGCTACCTATAAAAAGAAAGGTGCTTGATCGAGACTATTTCAGAGAAGCAAGCCCAGAAGTCAGAAGAAACGCAAGAGTTCTAAGACTCACGTGATAACCGAGCTCACATATCTCGCTAGGTACGAAGTAGGGTAATTGTTGGAGCCAGGAAGGGGTCTGTATCTGCTCCATGTCATCATTCAGCACTGGGATAAACCTCCGCTGAACCTGGGGAGTGCTACTTAAGTAATCTTAACTTGGGTAGATGCAGGGATATCACACAGTCCTCTTGCAAGCAAAACGTCTTTCTAAGTTTACCAATAAGAATACTGTCTTTTATATAGAAATATTGACGGATCACTACGAACTTCCGTTCTATGATAAAACCTCTCTCGTTGATAATGTGATTAAGTTTGACAAAGTACCCTACCTCGCTGGGACTAAGTCCCCATCTGGTGATATCAGCTGCAGTGATGTAAGGGGAGCCCCTGTGAGAGGCTGAGTGAGGCGGAGTTATACCGTCCAGTTTAGTTAGGATGGACAGGGAGTTAACATAGTGTTTAGACATCATCACCAGGATATACTCACACTCTTCTACCTGTGTAGCTGGTTATAATAGGTGAAATATGCGAGTGTTTAACCAATACAATGTGGGGCAAGAACTTGGAGTCCCGTATTGTAAAAGTATTTATTTAATTTTAAAAAGTTTATTCAAGCGCTCTGTTCAAAAATGTGGCGGTGAAAAGAACTGACTTTTTCATTCAACCAGTCATAGTAACCGAGTTCCTCGAAGTCATATTCTTCTTTCGTAGTTAAATCACAAACACACTCCGCCAGCCCATTCAACTGAGGGTTTTTTAAGTTAAAATTCTGCCCAGTGCCCTCCGAGACTATTTGTACAATAGCTAGATACGAGTTCATTTTCACAAGTCCAATAAACATGAAATCAAAAATAAAACTGACAAAAGATCTGTTAAATCCTGTTCAAAAACACCAACCTCTAAAGTGTTAACAAGTTTCAGTATCAAGTTGGCCTGGAACGCTTCATTGTCCAGCTTCAGGTACGATATCAGCACCTTGGGAGGTATCATAAGGTCTGAGGGTCGGAATATGAACTTTTGTAGCTCTTCTGATGTCCAGGTGTGCTGTTTTGGGGCTGGCAGGGAGGAGGGCCTCTTTTTTAAACTGAGGAGAGGATTTCAAGGGTATAATTATAGGTATACAACGACTTGGAGTTGGACTTAAAATCTGTTAATGTCAACATCTATCGTGATCAATATTATTTTTTCTTTCGGGTAATGAATGATGAACTGTTTGGCAGTTTTCCAGTAAACTGACTCACTTGCTAGACTTCCTCCAGAGTCCCTGAGCAACAGAGAAGGAAGTAGAGGTAATATCTCGAGGTCCAGTGTGAGGCGATGCCGAGTGTTGAGAGTCGAAGGCGAATGGAGAGGAAGGGGGTGTACTGAACTGTGAGTAACTGCTCATACTGGCTCTGAAGGATGTGTTTGGTTAGGATTAGTTAGGTTAGCAGCACCTCTAAAATCTAAATTAGACTTTTTCTAGCTCTATAACATAATATGTACATCTGCATTCTGGACCATATTTCGTCGGCTGTTGACAACTATTGTCAAAGTTATATTAACTAAGTAAGTTTCAATGATAATTGGCGACGTCAATAAATAGCAATTAGCAAATTCTCATGCGGGGTGGTCTGTTCTCACTTAAAAAGTAAGAATGAAGAGTTACACACATTTAATGATATCTTCATTGTAAATTCAATTCGTTGAAGTCAGTTTTCTACTTTTAGTGACTCAGACACCCAAATGCCGGGATCGTTTTGGGTACTGGTTTTCATTTCAGCAGCTGTTGTTTTGATAGAGTGTAAGGTCAATAAGAAGTGTCAGAAGACTGTTAAGAAGTTTAAGAAATGTATCAGTAGTGGTTTCAAGTCAAAGCTTGGTTGTGCTGCCGGAAAAGGAAGGTTGAAGAAGAAAGCCATGAAGGTTTGCAAGAAATTGGAGAAGACGGCCAAGAAATGTGACTTTTCTTGTGGAAAGAAAGGAGATGAACCCGATAAAAAGCCCAAAGAAGATGAGTCAGACCCTCAAGAGCCTGGAGATGATTCACAGAGTGGAACAAAATCAGAAGGATGCCCTCTTTTAGGGAGCGACGAGCCGTGTCCCAAATCAATGTTTATCATTTTTTTGGGAAAATGAAATTCATTCTTATTCGGTTGATTCATTCAAATGCGATGATATTTAACGGAATATCCTCAACATCACAAGTGGCCCAACGGAATCGATTGATATCATCTACTTTTTACCATTAATATAAAAATAGTGAATAGCAATTAAATTTTTGTACCTTTTGGGTTTTTCGAACGAACAACGGAACATGAGTGAAAATAATTCTGCATGGTACTGAAAGCGACTTCTAGAATAAAGTGTTTCTTTTGACTGATTTGTTCAATCGTTAAAGTTTAATAAATGATAATTTATCTTATTAACTTACCCAAGCATCTGTGATTGATTGGATTCTATACTGTGTACACTTGCAGAACGGTCTGAAAACGTAATTTATCTCAACAATGTCAACACTTTCACTTGTCGGTTACAAAATTTCCGTGTTCGAATCTTAAAAAGTATCAAAAACAAAAGAAAAAAAGCAATCAAAATAAAATTAGCTATCTGTGTGAGATTATAGATTGTAAAATAGAGAGTCTTGAGGTCCCACCTAGTGATGAGTTGCTAGAGTTGTTAGCTCTACAGGAGTCAGTTAACAGACTCTTTGTAGAGGGGGCAGAGTTCATGAACTCGTCTGATCCAAACGTTACTCGCTTCCCAGAGGAGGATATGTCTGCCATATTGTCAATCTGACAGGTTGAGGAATACAGGTAACTTGGAGAGGTTAAAATACAGAGAGAATACTGAGAGATGAAATAATAATACAAGAGTTAAAGTATTATTAAAAGTTGACAGAGGAGGACCGCTGACAATTAATGCTTGACATAATCACTGTAGTCACTGTATTATGGGATTTGTATTCTTAATGGATGAATGACATTGTGTGCATATATTTATATTTGATTGTAATTAAAGATTTTAAGGCGTTAGTGCCGAGTAATGCCTTCGGGTAGTGCTCCTCAATCAATCAATGATAATTTCAGAAATGTACTATACAAGTATACAGCTAAATAGGTGAAATAAGAACTGAAGGCCACGATGACCGCATATTTCCAGATGGTCAATAAACAAAATTCACAATAAACGGAATTGTCTTTATCAATGATATAATATCTAAGATCTAACCAGATAGCAGGATTTAGGTTCGTTAAAGTAAGCCCATGTTTTTAGGCCCCGCGTAGTAGGAACCATGCGGGGTGCGATCAGAAGGGGTTTGTAGGGGATCCTGGAGTAAATCTCTAGCTCTGATTCTTGTCTCGTCAACTTCTTCTTCTTCTTTTTCCTCTTCTTCTTTTTCGTGCCCTGTAATGTGTTGTTTCTACAGATAGGGAGCTTGTTAACAGTAAGTCACGTGATACATAACTGTTTTAGATAAGTTTTGAGATCATGGATCAGCACATTAACTATTTATTTGATCGTTAGATATGTGATGTGTGTGGAGGTGATGGTGTTACCTTAGTGGAGGTGATGGTGTTTGCTTCGGAGATAGTAGAGACAGCAGACATGACACTGCTTCTTCGCATTATTTTGGCCTGTTTCTTAACTTTGCCCCGAACCTCCTCCTTTTGTCCGGCTGTTCAGAGAAATTGCTTCATTTTAATCTCATAATAACATGTTAAAAATGATTTCTCTAAAGCAAGTTTTTTAGAACGAATGAATAGGCACATGTTGGACAGACCACAAAAACAAAACAAAGTTTTTCAGAACAATCTCCCACAAAACCACATCCACGCAAATAATTGCGACTTTTTCATGCAAAAGTAGCGATTTCCTAAACACTTTACATTATTAAGGGGGGGGGGGCCAATGGGTATTTTTTTGTGAAACTTGATTTCGAGATAGCAGTTGACCAACAAACTAGGACCAGTGACCGAACTTTTGAAGGGGTCCCGGACCCCAACCGCCAAACGGTGCGCGCAGGGCAGCCACGCCCATATTTGGTCCAAATTAGGCCCAATTTAGCCAAATACCCTGTACATGCCCCAAACCCAGGTTTATGGTGCTCTACTTGTAGCTAGTGGTCTCCTGAACTCGTATATGAAATTTCATCAAGATTGGACAAAAAATGACTGAGTTATGAGCCAAAAACCATATGCCCATATTTGGGCATACGCACCAAATTTGGTAGATTTCGTCCCATAAATTGGTCAAATATCAATATTTTTGAATGAAACTTACTTTATATGAAAGGTAAGCCTAAACTACATATTCTCTGTAATTTATAGCTTTATATCTGTTTAAATGTGGATACTAAGGCGAAAAAACCACAAAAAATGAACTAAATTGCCCATATCTCGGTTTGCGATATTCGCGGAATTGATCTCACCAAAATTGTAACAACTCAATCAGTTTTCAAAATTTTTGCATGAAATTTTTGGAATCGACTCGAAATCGCATTTCGACCTTATTTTAAGAACGGATTTTTGATTTAGGCCTCAAAAAAAATTTGGCGGCCAAATTCCAAAATTATATTACAGAAATTCAGAATTTGGCCGCCAAATTTTTTTTGAGGCCTAAATCAAAAATCCGTTCTTAAAATAAGGTCGAAATGCGATTTCGAGTCGATTTCAAAAATTTCATGCAAAAATTTTGAAAACTGATTGAGTTGTTACAATTTTGGTGAGATCAATTCCGCGAATATCGCGAACCGAGATATGGGCAATTTAGTTCATTTTTTGTGGTTTTTTCGCCTTAGTATCCACATTTAAACAGATATAAAGCTATAACTTACAGAGAATATGTAGTTTAGGCTTACCTTTCATATAAAGTAAGTCTCATCCAAAAATATTGATATTTGACCAATTTATGGGACGAAATCTACCAAATTTGGTGCGTATGCCCAAATATGGGCATATGGTTTTTGGCTCATAACTCAGTCATTTTTTGTCCAATCTTGATGAAATTTCATATACGAGTTCAGGAGACCACTAGCTACAAGTAGAGCACCATAAACCTGGGTTTTGGGTATGTTCAGGGTATTTGGCTAAATTGGGCCTAATTTGGACCAAATATGGGCGTGGCTGCCCTGCGCGCACCGTTTGGCGGTTGGGGTCCGGGACCCCCTCAAAAGTTCGGTCACTGGTCCTAGTTTGTTGGTCAACTACTATCTCGAAATCAAGTTTCACAAAAAAATACCCATTGACCCCCCCCCCCTTAAACAACCACAAAAATAATTGAATTCCGTCCTTTTTGAAAAACAATGGAAGACGAACTGAGCACAATTAAGCAGTAAGCAATTCTATCGTGTTCACAAAATATTAAAAATAAGATTAGACCCGAAACACGTAAGCAGCTCAATGGAGTCAAAATCTTTCAGCTTCATAATTAGAAGATATAACAGCAATGTTTCACTTATTTTGAAGAAAAAATAACAACATTGTTTCACTTGTCGTAAATAACAACAAATAGTAACACTACATTGTCACCATGACAACAAGCGAACCTACTTTGCTGGGATGGTTTAGCATCGTCTTCAGAGAAGATGACAGACAATCTATCTAGTTCTGTAGTGAGTTTAATTCAGCCCCGTCGTTAACAAATAGTTTAAAAGTACATACTAACAAATCCACATTAACCTACCGACGTTAGAAATAGACTTGATCAGCCTTGAACTAATTTACAAGTCAAGTTTTTACATCTTTGAAAACCGATCTCTACCTTCAATTCAAAGTTTAAACTTTGAGGAGATCCGAACACACCCAACCCTTTACCTGGAGTAGAGATGGAATGTCGGGACATGTCCCCAACTCCTAACAGTTCCTCCCGATAGGACTGAGATACATCCTCTTCATCCTCCTCGTCATCCTCTTCTTCTTCTTCACTTCCTCCACTATCTTCTGGCGAGTTCCTGGCAGGTACGGGGTTTTTTGTTTCGTTTTATAAAATGAAATATAAGAAGTACTATTTTATCTACGGTAAGATATAATTCAGTTTACTTTTATTAGTTTATTCATTCTAAACATAAACTATATTTTCATAATAACAGCAAGAACATCCTTACTTGGTGATCTTGACATCAGAGAAGGGGGTAAAAGCGTTAACTAACTGACTGCTCCCCTCAAACTCTGTGCTGGCACACGACGGGTCACGTGTCATGGTGGGATCAGACATCGTCATGCTCTGTACCGTTCCTGCACGTGCAACAAAGTGAGAACAATTGATTGTGTGAGTATCTCTGGTCATACACTATACAGAAGTTAGATTGTTAAATGAATGTGGCCCCTAAAATTGGTCTCCTCCTTTTCAAGGTAAACTGTAGGAGGTGTTGTAATTTTTAGTGACTTCACCTAACCCTAACCCCCCCCCCCCCTCCCCAGCCGCAGACTCTTCAACCCTGTACTATATTGTCCTTTATTCGACTAATACGTCCTTCTCCCTCTCATCCCCTGTATCCGATCATGCATTGTATCCCATAACTGTCCACTGTCCTAATGGGTCTGCTTGAACTCCTAAAATAGCGCACTCCATAATGATAATGAGGTTTATTTCCGTGTTGGTAGTGATAAAAGGTAATTATCGCTATTTCTGAATAGCAATTAATTAGGATGTTGATTAAATAGATTGGTCATCATTTCAGACAAGACAAGTTGAAGGAACGACCCATTCATACTATTCAGGACTATAATTATAAAATTGAATGGCAATTAAATTTGTTATTTATTAATTATTTAAAATAAATTGCGGGTGACACAGAAGAAGGCTGTATCGGGGGATTGTTATTAACCAATTAATAATTGTGAGTATAAATACTCTTGTAAGATAGAGGCAGCATATCATTTTTCAATCTTTTCAGCAGTATTCGTAGATATTGATTAATATGATTCGTTTCCTTTCTTCTTTCTGTACTTTTGATAATAGATTTGCAAATCCACGTTTAAATTGTCCGTTAATTCTCAGATACTATAGTTATAAACTTTTACCGTTGAACCACAACTAAATCTCCAACTTTATAGGTACCACTTTCAAAACACCATCATGTCTTCTGAACTCGACCAACTGAAAGCAACCCACGAGGAGCTCAGACTCCAGAAGAGGGCCATCGACCGTGAAACCGAGGACACCCGAACCAAGACGATCGAGGACAAGCGTGCAGCTGAGGCTGAGATCGAGAAGCTACAGTTGGATGTAGATTCCTTGAAGGAGGAGACAGCAGCTTTGGTGGAGAAGAACAAGGGTCTGGAATCTAAAGTTTCCAGTCTGAAAGAAGAACACGTGCAGAAGAAGAAGACACAGGAAGAAGACTACGATACCCAGAGACGTCACAAGCAGAAGCTGCAGTTCCAGGAGTCTAAGTTGTGCACCAAGAAGGTGAACATTGAGAAGAAGTGTGACCCAGTTGAGGTGCACAGACTTCAGATCGAGGAGCTGAAGAACGAAGTCGAGCACAACAAAAACGAGAGGGAGGAAGTCAAGAAGATCTATGAAACCGAGATGAACAAAGTAGACAACATCCTCGCCAAACTGAAGTTCCAGGTAACGACCTGGGAAAAGAAAGTCCAGACTGCCAGAGAGCAACTCCTGAAACTGAACGCTAACTGTATCAACGTGAGGGAAGCCACCAGGAAGGAACTGTACGATAAGGACCTTCTCCTCCAGCGGCTTATACTGGACACTAAGAGATGCAATAAGTCTATCCCTGAATTAGAGTCTAGCACAGCTGTTCTTGAGAAGATGATCAAAGCATAACTATCACAACGGTAGAAGGTACGTGTAGGGACAATTAATGGGGTTTGCATTTTATCAGCTGTCAGAATAGGGCATAACTTTAGTATTTATTGTCTTTTTAATAATACATCGAGGGGTATTAATTAAAATCATTTATGTCCTCATCTTATTATTAGTACTTGAGATACTCTTATGTGATATCCTCATGACACAATTCATGACATCGTGATTAAACGGTACAACACAATTCATGATAGCGTAATTCAACGTCACAACACAATTCATGATAGCGTAATTCAACGGACAACACAATTCATGACAGCGTGATTACACGGCACGACACAATTCATGATAGCGTAATTCAACGGCACAACACAATTCATGATAGCGTAATTCAACGGGACAACACAATTCATGACAGCGTAATTCAACGGCACAACACAATTCATGATAGCGTAATTCAACGGGACAACACAATTCATGACAGCGTGATTACACGGCACGACACAATTCATGATAGCGTAATTCAACGGGACAACACAATTCATGACAGCGTGATTATACGGCACGACACATTTCATGATAGCGTAATTCAACGGGACAACACAATTCATGACAGCGTGATTACACGGCACGACACAATTCATGATAGCGTAATTCAACGGCACAACACAATTCATGACAGCGTGATTACACGGCACGACACAATTCATGATAGCGTAATTCAACGGGACAACACAATTCATGACAGCGTGATTACACGGCACGACACAATTCATGATAGCGTAATTCAACGGGACAACACAATTCATGACAGCGTGATTACACGGCACGACACAATTCATGACAGCGTAATTCAACGGGACAACACAATTCATGACAGCGTGATGACACGGCACGACACAATTCATGATAGCGTAATTCAACGGGACAACACAATTCATGACAGCGTGATTACACGGCACGACACAATTCATGATAGCGTAATTCAACGGGACAACACAATTCATGACAGCGTGATTACACGGCACGACACAATTCATGATAGCGTAATTCAACGGGACAACACAATTCATGACAGCGTGATTACACGGCACAACACAATTCATGATAGCGTAATTCAACGGGACAACACAATTCATGATAGCGTAATTCAACGGCACAACACAATTCATGATACAATCATACTGTTATTGAAGGGATTGTAATTGTGTGTTTAAGGGCATAATATTAAATATATTATATAATACGTAATACCGTTATTTTTATTGTTTAAAACATGGAACCTAATCTTTGAGTATTACTTGGTGATTCCAAATTGAAAATTTATACTAAAATAATAAACACAGATCAGCTCTTCTATAAGGGTTAGCAACGATAACATCAAGCTAAATCTAACGATAAAAGTACAATAACAAAGTGGAACCTTGATTAATGAACTTTTAAACGTTGGATCCAACTTAAAACATTCGTATCTAACTACAAACATACCATACATATAACTATAAGGAGTGATAAATGGATCTGGCTATTAAATATTGTAACCTTTTACATAAATTATTCTTTCCTATCGAGCAAATTGTCATTATATCCCTTTTTGAGAAGGGATTTGCTTTCAAAAATGATGCAGTGAATAGAAATTAGAAGAAATTAAAATATCAGATAATAAATACTTAATAAACTTACCAAGCCAGTGTTCTAACATTCCACCTCCTCCCCCACTACAACTCATGTTGAGCATTGAGTCTGGCAGGCTCAGGTCAGGGGGCTCGAACGACTGGTTGATCAGATCTAGTAGTTCCTGTAAGAGTATTTTAACTTTTTAATAGCTATGATGTACTCAGATGTAGATACAGGTGTGCAAGGTTGTTAAATACGTATTAGGAGGGAATACGTATTGGAATACGAATATGTATTAATCCTCGAAAATTGACGTATTACGAAAAGGTGTGGCTTGAAGTTGAAATTGATCGCGGACGGTCTTTAAATTCTGAACATCAAAATCATTAAATATGTATTAATATGTAATTGATAATTTCGCAAAAAATGTTAGCTTATCGGATTATCCATGAAATTTGATTACAAATTTAAGTTATCATGTATAACTGCACTCCTTTAATGCATGATCAATGATGAGGGTGGCGCGCAGCTGTAATGTTTAATTTTGACAAATCAGCGTATTACGGCGTATTATGGCGTATTCGTGGACGTATTTAACAATCCATAGAAATTACCGTATTACGGCGTATTACGACGTATTCTTTATTAGAACCGAATACGTATTATTTCACGAAAATTTGACGTATTTAACAACCTTGCCAGGTGTGAGGTTATATTGGAAGCTTGAAGACATTTCCTCTCATGATCGAGAGTTTTTGAGATAAGATACAAGTTGTTCAGTGCAGTTCATGTGAATAACACATTATAATCCACCTCCCACTTGGTTCAGCACCTTACTTACCGACTCCTGAACGTCCCCATCAGATAGATACCCCCTGTCCTCCCCAGACCAGGCTTCTCCTTCCGGAGTATCGAGTCCGGGAGTCTTGGTTACAGCTGGAGTCCAGGAGTCCGGGAGGGGGGACAGCTGATGAAGGGCCGGACTCGAACCGTCGCCATAAACCTGACAAGAACTCATCGTTATACATACCTAGAATCTTAGATTAGGCTTGATAAGGCTTGATTAGCCTATGTAATAATAATAGATATCAACCATATAGGATAGTGTTCCTAAAGGACATTAGACTAGTATAGAAAGTGCTGATAGTGAGCCCATACCTCGACCAGAGTAGCTCGACTGCTATCATTAGCAGATTAGACTAGTATAGAAAGTGCTGATAGTGAGCCCATACCTCGACCAGAGTAGCCCGACTGCTATCATCTAGTTAGACTAGTATAGAAAGTGCTGATAGTGAGCCCATACCTCGACCAGAGTAGCCCGACTGCTATCATTAGCAGATTAGACTAGTATAGAAAGTGCTGATAGTGAGCCCATACCTCGACCAGAGTAGCCCGACTGCTATCATTAGCAGATTAGACTAGTATAGAAAGTGCTGATAGTGAGCCCATACCTCGACCGGAGTAGCCCGACTGCTATCATTAGCAGATTAGACTAGTATAGAAAGTGCTGATAGTGAGCCCATACCTCGACCAGAGTAGCTCGACTGCTATCATTAGCAGATTAGACTAGTATAGAAAGTGCTGATAGTGAGCCCATACCTCGACCAGAGTAGCCCGACTGCTATCATTAGCAGATTAGACTAGTATAGAAAGTGCTGATAGTGAGCCCATACCTCGACCAGAGTAGCCCGACTGCTATCATTAGCAGATTAGACTAGTATAGAAAGTGCTGATAGTGAGCCCATACCTCGACCAGAGTAGCTCGACTGCTATCATTAGCAGATTAGACTAGTATAGAAAGTGCTGATAGTGAGCCCATACCTCGACCAGAGTAGCCCGACTGCTATCATTAGCAGATTAGACTAGTATAGAAAGTGCTGATAGTGAGCCCATACCTCGACCAGAGTAGCCCGACTGCTATCATTAGCAGATTAGACTAGTATAGAAAGTGCTGATAGTGAGCCCATACCTCGACCAGAGTAGCCCGACTGCTATCATTAGCAGATTAGACTAGTATAGAAAGTGCTGATAGTGAGCCCATACCTCGACCAGAGTAGCCCGACTGATAGTGTTCCTAAAGGACATTAGACTAGTATAGAAAGTGCTGATAGTGAGCCCATACCTCGACCAGAGTAGCTCGACTGCTATCATTAGCAGATTAGACTAGTATAGAAAGTGCTGATAGTGAGCCCATACCTCGACCAGAGTAGCCCGACTGCTATCATCTAGCAGATTAGACTAGTATAGAAAGTGCTGATAGTAAGCCCATACCTCGACCAGAGTAGCTCGACTGCTATCATCTAGCAGATTAGACTAGTATAGAAAGTGCTGATAGTGAGCCCATACCTCGACCAGAGTAGCCCGACTGCTATCATCTAGTTCCTAAAGGACATTAGACTAGTATAGAAAGTGCTGATAGTGAGCCCATACCTCGACCAGAGTAGCTCGACTGCTATTAGCAGATTAGACTAGTATAGAAAGTGCTGATAGTGAGCCCATACCTCGACCAGAGTAGCTCGACTGCTAAAGGACATTAGACTAGTATAGAAAGTGCTGATAGTGAGCCCATACCTCGACCAGAGTAGCTCGACTGCTGTCATCTAGTTCCTAAAGGACATTAGACTAGTATAGAAAGTGCTGATAGTGAGCCCATACCTCGACCAGAGTAGCTCGACTGCTATCATCTAGTTCCTAAAGGACATTAGACTAGTATAGAAAGTGCTGATAGTGAGCCCATACCTCGACCAGAGTAGCTCGACTGCTATCATCTAGTTCCTAAAGGACATTAGACTAGTATAGAAAGTGCTGATAGTGAGCCCATACCTCGACCAGAGTAGCTCGACTACTATCATCTAGTTCCTAAAGGACATTAGACTAGTATAGAAAGTGCTGGTAGTAAAGAAGCCCATACCTCGACCAGAGTAGCTCGACTGCTATCATCTAGTTCCTAAAGGACATTAGACTAGTATAGAAAGTGCTGATAGTGAGCCCATACCTCGACCAGAGTAGCTCGACTGCTATCTAGCAGATTAGACTAGTATAGAAAGTGCTGATAGTGAGCCCATACCTCGACCAGAGTAGCTCGACTGCTATCATCTAGTTCAGATTAGACTAGTATAGAAAGTGCTGATAGTGAGCCCATACCTCGACCAGAGTAGCTCGACTGCTGTCATCTAGTTCGCCACTTAGTATCTCCAGATTATCATTCTTGAGAAGCTGTGCCACAGATGAAGTCTTCTTCTTCTTCGTCGTCTTCACCACCTTGCCTCCTTTTGACTTTGCTAATTCTGACGTTTTTGGAGTTTTCTGGGCTGTTTTGTCAGCTTTAGTTTCGTTCGATCTCTTCTGGGATTTCTTTGATCCGGAAGTATCTTGAATCTTCTGCAAGTTAGTAGAGCTTGCCTTGCTGCTATTCACCGAGGGTGCTTTGTCCCACATACTTGTCTGTGAATATTTCATGATACTCAAACTTATAACAAATAATATTTACTATGATGAGTGTGTTAAAATTCAAGTTTAATCAGTTTACAAAATCCGTCGCTGTCACGTGTTAAGTAGAATTTGTTCCACCCGCCCGTAGTAAAGTTCATTAACTGTGGTAATATCTCACCCTGGTCATATTTGTCTTAGTAAATTTGAGAGTATTAGCAACAATCTTCCTCCTTTTAAACTCCTTGAGATTCCGCCACTTTGGTTCTATCCAGTTCCTCATAGCTTCAAATCCCCTGTTGCACACTTCAATTGGGGGGAAGGTTAGAGGGTTGTGACTGAAGTCCACAGCGTCCGGCTTCAAACACAGCTCAGGTAACATTATTATCTGAGAGATTAGCAGGTTATTAACAATTTGCTAATTTTTAACTTTTTTCCATGGAATAAAAATATGATAAACAATAAACATGACAAACAGTTGCAATATAAGAACGATGAACAGGAATAAGAATTACTGATCCTACGCTTTATATTTATTATCTGTTTGAATGTAGATAAAATGAAGATAAAAACATTATAAAGATGTGGAGCTGGAACCCGACTCAATCTAACACTTGACCTTATCTTGCTTATCTTAGTCCTACAGTTGACATTCTCATAACCCAAACCTACAGTTGCACTTATATGAGTCTACAACTTATCTCTACAAACAATGTGCAATGTACAATGTACAATGTGCAATGTGCAATGTACAATGTACAATGTACAATGTACAATGTACAATGTACAATGTGCAATTAACAATGTACAATGTGCAATGTACAATGTACAAATGTACAAAATGTAAAATGTAAAATGTACAATGTACAATGTACAATGTACAATGTACAATGTACAATGTACAATGTACAATTTATGTAGAACTGACACTCACTTCATACGGCAGCTCCACTATAAAGTTGTGGCTGCACTTTAATATTTGTAGATGTACGAAACTCGAACATAGAGCCAAGGGGTACTCGTCCAACCTGATTAGAATCTATGTTAAGAAAGTGTAATCACGGGAAAAAGGAATGAGGGGTCTAGATGTGGCCTGTGGTCCGAGTTAGGGTTTGGGGAAGGACTAACTGAGGTAAAGAATTGACATAATGACGAAAAGACAACTTAAAGATTCAGGTCGGTATTCTAGTTTGTGTAGACTAACTTGTTGCAAGAAACGTTCAGACAAACTAGACTGAGAAGGTTCTTTAGATTGTTGGGTAGTCTCTTAATTCTGTTGTTACTTAAGTTTAGAACCTGCAGGGAGTTTAATGAAATAGTAAAATTAATTATCAAAATAAACTGTGGTGTGCTGCATGGTCAATCATTTTTTAAAAAGAAATATTATTAAGTAATGACTAAAACGTTCTTTTTTTTTCTTCTTATAAATCACTGGCTTGAAATGTTTCTACCTTGAGAAATTTGAGATATCTGATATCAATAGGTATAGATGAGATGTTGTTGTGACTAAGGTCAAGCTCCTTCAGAGAGGTCACTGTGAGGATCTCTTCAGGAAACTCGCTGAACCTGTTGTACGACAGATCCAGCAGCTCGAGGCAATCTAAACGGGATATCTTCCTCGGTATCTCCCTGTTTAAACATGACATTAGTAAAACTACCACTTACAAGCAATTCTTGATATCACCTAAATATGTAAAGCAGAGAGCTGTCAATTTATAACAGTTAGCGTCCTAATTTAAAGTATCGGAGGTTATGTCATTTTATTAAATTCAAGTCTCGCAGATTATGTAATTTTAGTCCAGATACTCCAGCACAGAAGTGTTTCTGACCTGAGGAAGTTCCTGTTGAATATGAGGGTCTCTAGATCGTCACATCTGAGGACCATCTTAGGGAACAAGGTGAGAGCCATCTGACTCATGTCGAGGTAGGTGTCTCTTCTCAAACATTTCACTCTTCTTCCGTCCTCTGTTACTACCTCTGCAGGGGGACAATATAGCTGGTATTATTCATGAATATTTCATTTCCTCTATTGACCATTACCTTCTCTGTTACTACCTCTGCAGGGGACAATATAGCTGGTATTATTCATGAATATTTCATTTCCTCTATTGACCATTACCTTCTTATTTCTACCATTATCGTGTCACACTTCCAACACAGACAGTGGCTGTTATATTGAAGAAGATTTATAACTGAGTGGGTTGAAAGACGTGGTGAACTGATTCGTCTACAAGAAGGCATTGTTAAAGTGAAGGTTATTTAACCAGATTCACGTTTCAATAACAAGAAAACACTCAAGCATCACGTGTTTATTACCCGGAGTCACGTGGTGTTTTTACCTTGTTTTCTGTGTTTAGGTTTGGGGAGGTTGACTTTTAGAGGGGGCAATTGGAACATCATCTTGACACGGAGTCACTCTGAACTACACCTAGTCACACACTATCTGACTTATCTCGAGCAGTTTGGTTTACTAAGTAACACACTATCTCGAGCAGGTTATTTGTAGAGGATGCCAGTTCATACCATGGGCTTGTCATTCATCATTCCAATATTGACGTTACATCGACGTTAAGCTGAAATCGTGCGTACTATATTCAACGGACATACAGGTTACAAAAATTAGCTGATTCAAAGCATTGTATTGACTTAAATTGGGTCGAGATGTGACCTGATCAAGTGATCATGATTCATTGATCTGTAAAACTCGAGTGTTGGAGAAGATATAATTGTTCATCAAGTCTCGAACTTAAAACTCAGGAAAGATATCACTTTGATCTGTTAAATGATAAAACCACATTTAGGACGCTACTAGAGAAGGTGGCTTTCTCCTTTGCAAAAATCGGAAACCTTAAAACGGATCATTGTTATGATCGTGGACGAGATGCCATTCTGGAGCAGAGTTAAAAACATACATTTTAACTATCGACCGAGTTTCAAAGTTAAGCAAAAACAAAAAACAAACTAAATCCACAACAGCAAACAGCATAAAACCTGCAACCTAAAACAAAACCACTCTCAACAACAACTTAACATTTGAAAAGCATTCTAGTCTCTCTCCGTGTATTAATAGTAGTATTGTTTAATAGCCAGTACACAAAATATTTATCGTGCGGTGGATTGTCCTGTATTGCAAGCTTAACAAGTACACATGATCAATTTAAAGGTGGCCATAGCGTGACGTGATGTGTTGGAGATTGTTGTGAGTTACAAGTGCTATAGAATGTGCTTTATAGATTGTATTATATAGTGGCCTGTGATTGGTTATAGTGCACGTGTGATTGGTATACTGGTCACTGTAGTGCTTGACAAGGTGTTCACTCCCACAATCTCACTGTAGAGTTCACGTTATAGCTGGAGTGGGTGGTATTGTCACTTTATCTCTGATAAGAAACTAGGGTGTAAAATATAAATCGTACTTATCGTACAACATAAGGGGCCAAAAACATCATTCAACGATTGTTAACTTAAAGCACTAGAAGCAGTAGAAGAAACCGATTTAAGCAAATAACAATCAGGGGTCACTATAACAGTTTAACAGTCACAACAACTACAATCTAAAACGAACTGTAGAGTGTAAGAAATGTCAAATGAACAAACCCCTTGGAGCTCACATCAGTGTAATTGTAGGACCACGTTATACGTTCTCATAATCTCGTCTTACACTCAGCAGCGCGCTCGCAACGTGACGTCACGTGATTGTTTAGATATCAAAGTGCGCGTCACGTGACATGAACGCGTGATGAGTTATAAAGTTGGGTCGTGAGTCACGCTTTACCTCATAACTCTTAAGTCTTACTACATCGATCGAACACTGGGCGGAGAGAGCGGCTGGCGTTTATCTCTCCGCACAGTGAGTGAATATTAGACTGACGAAGATGCAAGGTGTGCTACCGATAGGTGATAACATCAATTTAATATGATATCGATAAATGTTGGAAATCAGACGAACAGAAGGGACACTGACAGATGGTGTTGAAGCCTGAAAGTCAATGTAAGCAAATTTGACAGTTTATTCAAAGAAAACTGATTTGTATATTTATAAGATATCTCAAATAGTTTTTGTTATGTAGATTTTAATAGGATACTTAGTGTGATATCATTCTGCTGAAATCAAAATTGATTTGATTTCTTGCTTTGTTCATTATAACCGGAAGTTTATGACCAATTTTTTTTAAATATGAGCAGTTCTTTGCCATCGATTTGTGTGTTCTCAAATCATTTTTCATAAAGTTTTTTTCATAAATCTTTGGATTCAGATGTACAGGGTGTTTCAAAATTATTGTAAGGATGCACTTTTTGAATCCATTTGTCTAGACTTTATTCTGTAAAAGGTTACTTTCTGGTTAGTTTTAAGGTTGAATGGCGACTTCTGAATTTTGTACGTTGCCATGGTCACCATAGAAACCAAAATCAGTCCCCTAGCAACCGAGTTAATTAAGTGGGTCCAAGAAATTGCGGACATAGTTCACTATTTGTTTATCGTGTTTGGATGCCCAATGCCCATCATATTTTACAGCTGGGGGAAATATTTTCGAACGACTCTACTTTATGATCAATTATTGCAGTACTAGGTTAAATTTTAAAAGAATTAAATAAAAATGTATTTAAACCAACTAACAAACAGATCTTCGCAAAAACAAAATGTGCGTGTGTGGTGTACAAACTCGAATTGCTCTTAATCTAATCTGGATACCATCAATTCCAGAATCCAATGAAGTGCAACGAGGAAGGTAACAGAAACAAGAACTAACGACACAACACAAATGACCTCCATCAGGCTGACAAGTGCCGCCAAGTGCCGCTGATAGAGATGATCTAACAGCATCCAGTTAACAGTGTATCTAGGTTGCCGGCCTGGAAACAAACACCCGGCTGTGCTAGTGAGACCAGGTCAGATCTAATTCCCCCTGTAATACAATAGTGGGCTAGAGAGAGAAATAGTGACCTAGATTAAGAGGGCAGGATTAGGGGGAACTATAGGATCCGGGGTGGCATTCCATTTGCGAGTTAAAGTTTCACTGTGAAGCTGGTTATTGGTAGCTTTTAGCTGTCATTTGATACTTGTATAGTGTGTTGTGTAGGTGTTAGTTCCGTCAGTTTTGGTATTAGCTGTTAATTTGATATGTTGATATGTTGGCAAAAGCGAGTAAGAGTCAAAATTATTTAATAACAATCAATGGTCATTTTAAAAGTAATCTAAACCATAAACCAACAACTACAATTCAAGTAATAAAACTGCAAGTTTAGAAACGTAAGACTTAGAGATGAAATGGCGAAAATAAAATGTCAGTTGAGTTTGATAACCCCTACTACCATGTATCACAAATAAAACATCCCATCGTGAACTATATCAGAATGTTTATTGTTTATTTCCATTGTCTCCTCCATAGCTAACTTCATTTTTCTTCATATCAGGGACGAGGAAGCACTTTTGTAATGTTCAATGTTCATTTATACCTTCTGCCACCACAACCAGTCCATTCCTGTGAGGTATCGTATTAGAGAATAGAGAAATATGTTTAAATCGGTGTTGGTCGGAGAAAACAGCACAACAATTGCTAACACTCTAACAGTAAAGCAGTAACACTAACACTCAAACAGGGATTGGTAGGTTTACGAGGAAATCACTACCATTTTAAAGCTATGGTTATATTTATGTCTTGTATTAAAACCAATACCCACCATGTTGGAGGAGATGCACAGCAGTAGCCGGGGTCTCGAAGAAGAAACCAACAGTAGGTCCATTCCACATCTCAGCGCACTTTCCTGTTAAACAGTTAGTGTTACAGTTAGTGTTACAGTTACAGTTACAATTAGCGTTAGATTTTGAGTCCTTATAGGTCTTGAATCTTGATTGTCAGATTTGGAGTACCATGTTTTTCGCACCTTCATACTTTCATAGGTTACTTGTTCCAGTATAACAAAACATGTTTACTGACCCTCTGTGTAGTTGAAGTTGAGAAGGAGCTGATCCTCAGCATACAACTTGAAACCATCCTCCCTCTTGGCGAATGTCCAAGTTCTCAGTCCTTCGGGTAGAATAGCTTCCTGGTCGTATTTTATCCAGCCACAGTTCCTCGCCCACATGTGTCTCTCGTAGCTGCGTGGGAGGAGATGGACATCAGTTATTTGTTAATATTAAAGTTTGTTCGATGTTGTGAATGCCCAAATGTAGATTGCAAATAGGTTTGTACCCTCTACAGAACCTCTCAAATAAAACATAATAATCACACTTACAAGTCCATGTTGCCATGCATCTGCCCGTTCTCTTTAATAAACTCCAAGTCGAAGATACCGTGGAACTCTCCCTCAAATCTCCATTGTACGGCAGCAAAGTCGAGCAGGTTCACCATGTAGGGGCAGTCCAAGCCACAGTCCCGAGCTGGAGACCACGACCATTCTAAAGGGGTGGGCGTTATTATATATATTTATAAGGGAGGGGGGGGCGTTTTGAGAGGAGCTTCCAGTTCAATTTTATACATTTATTTTCACTCTATCAAAATTTTAATTGTTTCACTTTCAGTGAGAGCTAAATCTGCGGCCTGCGGGTGACCACCTAAGTTGGTAGCAGTGGTCATGCACTTCTGACTAATCGAGTCGTGAAACAGTTTTATAATGTTGTATGTGACCAGTGACGGTCTAATTTACAATCTAACGAACAAATTCAGCAAGTGAGACATTTTTAAATAATCATAAACATGAAGGCGGGTTGCAGCACACAATATAGTTTTGCTTTTATAGTAATACTACATTTCATTTAACTAATCTAGGCGCTGATAATGATATATCTGAGTACTGTGTAATAAAACAGTTGACTGTCCTGCTTTTATCTTGGATAATTAAATTTTAGTCAAATATCATTCAACAAATCTAGGCGCTGATAAAGCGATATGATTTAAAACTTTTGTCCGCGTTACCTGGGTTGTAGAACTTGATGAGCATGTCTAAAGCTTTCACATCGCTTTTGAGGCTGTTTACTGCAGCAGTCAGACTGGCAATATCCTCTGAAATAAAAGAATAAGTATGTAACAGATGTAACTACGCGCGCAATCCACGGATGAAAGGCGACCATTTAGTCAACTCTGCTCCCTTCTTAAGTCCAAACTCTAACACTGACCCTAACTTTACTGGGACTCGACGCCTGAGTAAAATATTTTGGTGCACAACAACCTGGGGCTGAACGTTTTATAGTTACAGGAACAGCAAGTCGCTGGAAATTGGTCGCTGGACGAGCTACTACAGAGTGGTCTATCATTTCCGTAGTTTGTTTCCTTATCAGCTTACAGCTTTCAAGACTGTGAATTTACAATTTTGGTATTTTAGTTTGGGCAAGTTCCGCCCAACAATACATGCTAAAAATTATTATTCGGCTAAAATTCAAATGATTTGCTTAATTTCCACTTACCTTCAGCATTTACTGACGAAAACGCGACCAAAAGAACAGCTAAGAAACCCAACATTTTCTAATCGACAGCAGAGCAAATAAGTTGGACAAACTAGAAAATGGTTCTGCAAGTATCCCTGCAGAATTTACAGCCATTATCAGCTACAATCTAGGGTTTCCTAATTACGGTGGACCTACAATTTGGTTGAAAGGAACCGTGAAATGAATTGGATAATTATATTCTGACAGCCAGAAGGGATACATTTTCAGGAGACACGATATTTTTATCGGTGACTGTTGGACTTATCAGTAAATTCTCACTTTGCGGTAAAACTTAAAATGGTTAATTTTCCTCTACGTTTGTGGCAGAGAATTTGGATGATTTAATTTGGTTAATGAGTTGTAGTGACTATCGAAAATTGGTTTGCTATCATTTAACAACACTGAATATACGTCAATATTTAGCCTATTTCATTCAGCTGTAACAGTAGCTCTAGCTTTTAAATTTAAACTTAACCATAATTCGATTAACTGCAATTGTATAAGCAACCATGCGAAACGAAATCAAACAATGTTTTAAAATGATAAAAACAGTTTTCAAACGGTATTTACAAAATATTCATACAAACTTAAATAATGATTTTGTATATAAATTAAACCCTATCTGATTTCATGAACCCTGTAATCTGTATCATATCTGCTCATATGATAAACTATAAGAAATAACTTACTAATAAAAAATCATAAAAATATGAAAATGGGACATAATTTAGAAAACTATGCTTCCTCGACCCAAAATACCAAATATTCGATATATTCGATCGATAAATTTCCGTACCCCTAAAAGCCAAACATATATGACAACTCAAACTAGGACATTTTCCATTTATCTGCTGATCAAATTTAAACTTGAAATCTGAACAACATTGAATTAAATACTTAACACAAGAATGAAAATGTTAAAAGATAAGGATTGTTCATAAAGGCTATTACAATAATACTCCACTTATATAACAAACAGAACTGTTATCAGCACAAACTAATATTCGTATCTCAAGTATTTGATAAAAGATTTGTTTCTCCAGTCTAATCAGGAACCTTCAATAAGCAGTACAATTTCAGATAACTCTTCTACTCCAATTCTCCGGTTAGAGTGTAGAGCACAAGTTGAGACTTGAGCTACTCCAATTCTCCGGTTAGAGTGTAGAGCGCAAGTTGAGCTACTCCAATTCTCCGGTTAGAGTGTAGAGCGCAAGTTGAGCTACCCCAATTCTCCGGTTAGAGTGTAGAGCGCAAGTTGAGCTACTCCAATTCTCCGGTTAGAGTGTAGACCGCAAGTTGAGCTACTCCAATTCTCCGGTTAGAGTGTAGAGCGCAAGTTGAGCTACTCCAATTCTCCGGTTAGAGTGTAGAGCGCAAGTTGGGCCTCCTTGCACATGGGGCCACTACCACGTGCCCGCTCTCGGAGCAGCCTTATCACCCTCCTATCTGCTATGTTCAGCTCCTTTACCGCCCTCATCACCTACAAGAGGGAGAGGAATTAGGGGAGGTGAATTAGGGGAGTAGAGGTGCTGCTGCACATATCTTACAGAAACTTGCAGCAGTGACGTGAACTGTAATATATATTCGGAGCTAGGACAAGCCATTCATATTTACTTTTATGACCTGCGTAATGTTACAACTTTTTGAAAACATGAATAATAAAAGAGTTAAAATTGTCAGCATTGGTAAGCAACCTGAATTCGAACGAAGATAGAAGAATCCAGCTCGAGAATGTCAAGAAGCTGGTTCAGAAGACTTTTCCCCTTGATTCCTAGAATTGAGAGCGACATGACCCCTTGACCCCTCACATCTTCATTTATATCGTCTAGTTTCCTGGGAAAATATTCATTTAATTTCGGGCTTATCCCTCAGGAGACAGAAGAAATGAGGTGAGGTGAGGTGAGGTGAGGTGAGGTGAGGTGAGGTGAGGTGAGGTGAGGTGAGGTGAGGTGAGGTGAGGTGAGGTGAGGTGAGGTGAGGTGAGGTGAGGTGAGGTGAGGTGAGGTGAGGTGAGGTGAGGTGAGGTGAGGTGAGGTGAGGTGAGGTGAGGTGAGGTGAGGTGAGGTGAGGTGAGGTGAGGTGAGGTGAGGTGAGGTGAGGTGAGGTGAGGTGAGGTGAGGTGAGGTGAGGTGAGGTGAGGTGAGGTGAGGTGAGGTGAGGTGAGGTGAGGTGAGGTGAGGTGAGGTGAGGTGAGGTGAGGTGAGGTGAGGTGAGGTGAGGTGAGGTGAGGTGAGGTGAGGTGAGGTGAGGTGAGGTGAGGTGAGGTGAGGTGAGGTGAGGTGAGGTGAGGTGAGGTGAGGTGAGGTGAGGTGAGGTGAGGTGAGGTGAGGTGAGGTGAGGTGAGGTGAGGTGAGGTGAGGTGAGGTGAGGTGAGGTGAGGTGAGGTGAGGTGAGGTGAGGTGAGGTGAGGTGAGGTGAGGTGAGGTGAGGTGAGGTGAGGTGAGGTGAGGTGAGGTGAGGTGAGGTGAGGTGAGGTGAGGTGAGGTGAGGTGAGGTGAGGTGAGGTGAGGTGAGGTGACAAGTTTATACCTGACAACCACTTGCACCATCTTTGCATGTAGACCAAGCGATGTTGTCACTTTAGCAACTGTCTGCCTAACCTCCCTGATATAAAACTTTTGGTTAGTCTTGGGTTAATCTTAAATGAACAACTGTAATGAAACTTTTAAAGCTGTTCGGTGAGCTTCAGGTGAATAAACGTTCTCATTCAACTGAGGAGATATCATTATCGTTTTCAATACAACATCTCAGTTTCGTTGTTAATTCAGCAAAGCACTAACCTGGAGAAGTCATCATACAGCATGAGTTGTAAACCATCAAATACCTGGGCCGACAGACCATTGTTATCTATAGCCTGCTTCAAATCTACCTGAATAACACAAGCAAATTCAGTTTATACCAACAATTACCTCATCCCGATAGAAAGAGTTTTTACTGAATCTTAATTTATTTATAAATTAAGACTGAATTTATAAACTGAATTTAGTCATGGATCAGTTTCCAATAAAAAGTCATATTGAATACAAATATTTCCTTTTCTATAACACAATCCAGATTCTACGTATGTTCTCAAACCATCTTCTCAAACCATCTTCTCAAACTCACTATAAGCTCAGTAGCAGCAGCTCGGTTTTCTGACTTGACAGCAGACTTCATTAAAGAAAGACAGGACCTGATCACTTCTGGAGGATGATGGTTCAACTTCGTTACTAACGCTGTCAACGACTGAAGAGGGGGATGTTCATTTTAGCACGTTGGTTAATCATTTGTTCTATAATCAAGAATAAATGTTGTGGATTTGTAGGTTAGGTTGAGTCAAATTATACTGGAAATTATGACTAGTTTTGACTATATATATTGTCCCAACAATTCTGGGGACATCACTTACCCAGGACTGCAAGTCCTCTGATCCTTTCTTCAGTAGATGAAGCAGACACTCCTTAACCTCGTCATCTATAATAAGGAACGCTGCGCACACCAGAGCTGCATGTGCTGCTAGTGAGTCGTTATCAGCTCCGCCTATGTTTTTATTTCTTTCTGCAGCTTCAGGAGTAAACTGATGTGGAAACTGGTAGGGTCATGAAAATAAAAAAATATTAAAGAGCGGCACTTTTACTAAAAGCTATTTAGTATTTACAGTAAAACCCCGATTTACCGCAAACCCCTTTCCCCCAAACTTCGCAGTAAATCGGGGTTTTACTGTACAAAGAAGGAGGAGAAGCTGCGGCTCTCACCTGGGTGTATCAGTGGGAAGAGTGAAGGTAGGACCCTTACTCTCCTCCGTCTGCGGAATATGAGACCCCCTCCGTATCAAGTTCAACAACAACCCTTGTAACACCCGGAACTGAACCGACTGTTTGTTAACAGAGTTAGGATTACTGCTGGTCCTCAGTGCCTCCAGCAGGGTGAACCTCAGTCCCTGGCTCCCGTATTTAATGGCTTGTAGGACGATCTCCAGAGCAGCACAATCCCAGACTCCGATTGAGAGGAGGGATTTGCTGGCTTCTATCAACACGAATATGTTATCATCCGTGTACACCTGACGAACAGACCAGTAAGAAAGTAATTACATTTGTGCAGTGTGCGTATTTATATCGACATGTTAACACAATATTGTAACTGAGATTCACAGGGAACTCAGAAAAAAACCACGGTTAGATATATTTATAATGACTCTGTCGTCGATTATAGTGGAGAGTAAATGGTGTTTTGCGGCAATCTTCACAATGAGAACAACGTTTGTTGCTTCAGTTATTCCGTAGAAAAGTGACTAGTAAGCGCTAATTTTAACCTGCTTAAAACGTAGTTCTTTTTTTTTTTCAAATTATAAATTCACTCCGATAAAATTTATTTGACGTTTTTTTAAATCACCGTTTCCTTAAGAGCGTTTACGACGGCGAACTCTTGTTGTGTCTTGTACAAAATACCCAGGTCCCGGACTGCTTCTTTTCTGACTTTCGCTATTTCACTCTTCAGGTTTTGGTTTATTAGAAACTGAAATTATGACAAAGGGTTAAGGGGAGCGTGTAAAATCCGGATTGGAGTATTATTTATGAGTCGCATTGTTGTAATGTATTCTGGGTAAAATTATCTTTATCCCGGTTGTTGCGACAAGTAAAAATGCTCTTATTAGGGAAAGGAGATTACTCGACGTTTCAATGTAACTACATCGTATTCATGATCTCAAATTATTTGTTATATAGTAGTGTTGAAAGTATTAAAATAAAAGTATTTAATACTTTCAACACTACTATATAACAAATAATTTGAGATCATGAATACGATGTAGTTACATTGAAACGTCGAGTAATCTCCTTTCCCTAATAAGAGCATTTTTACTTGTCGCAACAACCGGGATAAAGATAATTTTACCCAGAATACGTTAAGGGGAGCCATGTACCCAAGACATGTTATCAAATTAGCTTATCTATTCCAATCTCTATTCCACCTCAAAGTACAAAATCACACCCATGACGAATAACAATACGACAATGCATTGGTTATTTCTGATACCGAATACTCGTAACAGAAACTCAACAAGGTAAATTGTGGTCTAACAGCTTTGTGAGCACCCTATGAACCTGTATCACTCACCATGATACGTTTCTTCTGAGCTGCGGTGACCCCCGAACTTAGCTCATTATTGTTCCTCTTGGCTAACGTTATCCTATTCAACTTCTGCAGACTCACTGACGCCAATACTGAAAGTTTTACTAAACCGCTTTGATTTGTGATCGGTTGGTAGCATATCCGATACAGTCGCCCAGCTAGCGATTTTGGACATGGAAAAGTAAAAGAAGAAAAGAGTAATAAGAGTAATAAGAGTAATAAGAGTAATTAGAGTAGTAAGAGTAATATAAGAGTAATTAGAGTAATTAGAGTACAAAGGCTACAGGGTGCTGTTAAGGCAGAAATGAGAGATCTAGATATTCCATCTCAACATTTCATTTCGATATTTCATTTTGACATCTCTTCTCGATATTTCATTTCAATAGTTCATTTCTTTTTAGAATCATCTCCCAGCAATTATCGTTGCAGATAGAACTTGTATGTACTATTTGGTAAATCGATCGACATGGTATCGAGGTATCATGGATAAAAACAGTGCGCGGCTTAAATTTTCTGGCGTTATATGCGCGCGCGGGCCAATAGCAACACACTCACTGCAAGAGATCAAAACTTAACATACAATTTTGTTTTTGCGGGTTACGCAAATTAATAAATTTATATGTGACCGATTGCACGCTAAAACTTAACATTTTCACTTTTCAGTTTTTCAAAAAAAATCCCAGAATATACAAGTTATATCTACAATAGATAGGCTGCTTCCACATCACACCAAACAAAATTAATTGAAAACTTTATTACCTCTTCGTTTGGCTTGAATCAACTTCGACCTGATAAATTACTCATGTTAGGTTTGAAAAGGTCGAACAATTTTTTTAAAAGCATAAATATATGAACTTTAATCTTGATATGCTATTAGAGATGAACATTTTTTCGAAAGTGCGTGCTCTCAAAAATAATTTTTAATGTATCAAATCTTATTGTTTTGACGTATACTTTCTTAATATGAAGTTAACAGCAGGGCCAGGGCATAAAAGCTTTTGGTGTATGTCCCCTTAAACTGCCTGAGATTCTCGCTAATCAATTTGACTCCGCCAACAGGCACCATACTAACAATAGCAATTAACTAACCGCTGCTAAATAAATAGGTACTTACTATAATGACTTTAATTACTTTAATTACTTCACTAAGACTAACCTACTGAATATGCGAATACTCTCCGATTTCCCGCCGCTTGCAAAAGTAGATTGTCTGCTCATGCTACCCTGTTGGTTCTGCTGCTGGTTAGCTATCCGTCTTACCGGCTCCAGGTAAATGCCATTGTGCCAAGTTCGTGTGGGACGAGGGTATATGTTAGACTGACTGCGACTGAGGCGTCCCCATTTCAGGGGGACAGGGGGGTCTAGTCCGTAACAATCGTAATCGTCCTTTCCATCCCCTCCCTGCCTGGACATCCTCGAGGAAACTGTAAGGGGGTAGGATTTTTAAACTGCAAACCCCACAGTTAGTGTTCTACAGTAAGGAACCTCCTATATCTTGATATTGTAAGCTGAAGAAGATAAATAGTAAGCTGAAGAAGAAACTAACCGTTAGTAGGAGAGTTGATGTTGACATCAGTTTCATGAGAACTGTCCACCACATACTGAATGTGAGTGTACACTTTAGCTACCTTGTCCATCAGCTGGTTATATTCTTCCCGCTGAAAACACTAATCGTTGTAGATTAGAAACAAGTCACTAAAGCCACGAAGATTGATTTCTTAAGAACTGAAAGCATTAACGATTCGTAGTCAAACTTTAGTTGATGGCACGGATCCTACATTAGATTTATGATGGACCAGCGGCTGGACAGAACAACTACCGTACATCGATAGAGAAAGTTCCTTCACATAAAAAATATACCTTAGAAACAAATAATAAAAGTCTGTAGACGTCCACAACTAAGAACACACAACTAAGAACACACGAGCACAATATTGCGGAAAAAGCGTGCTTATAATCGCGTCAACTTAATTCTATAGCGTTCAGTTAAAACTTTTATAAAGTTTAATATTGTTTTATACGTCTGCAACAATTGGAAAATATATCACACGATTGGTCACTTATATTGGGCTCAATCCGGATGCATGGTATGTTAAGATTAATATGGTGATTATGTGTTAAAGTTATTTAATATCTTTAATATCTTCTGATCGGACTCGAGAAATGAAACATTTTAACTGAATTTAAAGGTGTCGCATTCCAGCGTCATACTCGACTCATACTTAAAGAATTTATTCTATTTTTAATATTGCGGCTCAGTAATGGATTAGTACAGACTTCGAGACAACTGAATCGCCAAAAAGGTCAAATTCCAAAATAAAAGAAACAAGCACTCCTTTCATCTAAATTAAAACTACGTAATAAATCGTTACATTACCAACAAATCGTAGCTGCTGCCACGTCTATCCAGCCAAGGAACGTTCCTGTCAAAAGGAGTACAGGAGAGTGTGATAGGAGACCTAGGTACGAGAGGTAGAGTGTGCCACAGTGGTTGAGGACCTGACTTCTTACTCCACAGGCTACTCTCTGGGTTATCTTCTGATCGTGCAGACGGCACCTGGGGGTGAAGTGAGATTAGAGGATGTACAAACATGCCAGAGTTACAATGAGATAGTTCCTACGTTATTGGTGTTCATTGTTCAGTTAATTTATAAATGCAACTAGTTAAGTTGGTGCTCGTTACGAATATTAATAATCAATATGAGTAGTAAATATAAATGTTGACACGTTTCTTTCTTTGTAGAAAATATTTGCGATAACGACCTATTTGAGATCCTTATAAGCTTATAAATATCGTAACATGAGAGAGACATCGGCGCTATCACGAGTTATTACTAAAGTACAGCGTAAGAAATAGGTGCTAAGATATTTGATATCTGAGAATTCCTCCTCATAGAATCTATACAAGTATAGTTATAGAACTGTTTAATCAATCCGCCTTTACGTCGAATTATTAACCCTACTACTCTGTACACTTCTAGTCTCCGTACACGTATAGTAGTAGTATACGCGTCCTTTCCACTCGTTGTATGATAACTAATGATGTGGTATTTGAGGACGACACTATTGTTTAGTATGAACATGTTATAATAGTATGATAAGTCCTAATGAGTCCCCCCTGCTGTTAAGCAGCCACCTATATCGGGAGTTAGTGGTAAATGGAAGCTGGTCACATACGGTTAACAGTAACCTAGTAACGTCACTCCTCAGCGGTTGCTAGGCGGTTGCAATCTGGCTACTAAGCAGTTCTTATCCGGCTTTTTAGCGGTTCTTATTTAGCAACTCACATCCGGTGATCGCTGTTTGACTTATTGGCTGACTGAGATATATTTGAGCTATTTTAGTTTTATCCTGGTGTCGTTGTCAGTTTTAACCGTGTTGACTTTACAAATCAACAACTTGTTGCCGTGTTGATTTCTCTCGTGCGTGTATAATATAGTTTACTTAACGCATATATTTATCAATAATCAATCAGTAGTTGTCGTAATTGTCGTGCTATGACTCTGAGGTTATGTGCCGTAATTATTAAAATACCACCCCTTAATTTGAGGTGCTATTGCACACTGCACAGTATTTCAGTAAGGCAGTAGTAGTAAGCTGATGTTAATTGTTGGCAGATGTTCTAACATGTTGCCCGCTGGTTTATAATTCTATAATAGTTGGTGGCGTCAAATTATAGTGTCTGATATCTAACAACCTGGCACATTTCCTTCGTGTACTCTTTCGTGCTTTAACGGCCTCATCATCTCTTCTTATTTTCAATTGTGTACCGTATTATTCTAGTCACCCTTTACACGACCCTGTATAGCTGAGACTAATAAGAGAAGAAAACACTAAATTCCTTCTACTTACGGTGAAGCGAGTAGTAGCGGTACTAGCAGCTTTAGACTTCTGAGACTTGATGGACTTTGTGGACTTTACAGACTTTGTAGTCACTGTTGTGTCCTCTCGTCCTATTGACTCGTCTGTAAATGGCAGGGGTCCTGGAAATTTCCATTATAACATGTATATCACGTGGGCTCTCTGAGCTAGTACTTGATATTTACGAAGCTTGGGGTCACTCATGGCACTTATCCAATCCTACAATTCTACTTTGTTGTGATAAACAGCAAGCAAAAGTTGCTTCACATTGGCAGCTTCACAGTTAACAACGGAAGTGCTAGTTGCTTACAACAACTAAATGACTGATACAATTAATAAGGATCTTTCAAACATGCTCCAACTGCAAACTAGGAGAAGAATAGTAATCTATTTAAAAGTGTAAGTATTATGAAACCTTCCTGTAAGTACTTACCGAGACTGACCATGTTGTAAACACTCTCCTCAACCTTCTCCCCACTGCTCCCTGACTTGAGATCAGAACTGGAACTACCGTACTTACTGCTGTGCGCCAGGGAACTGGTCATCTTGGCTCTCTTACCCTCCAGCACACTCTGTCTGTGGAGGAGGAGCACTTGTTCTATCCTGTTCTCGAGCCACTTAACACGGTCTTGTGCGCGCGTTAGTGCATCCTGGGGGTCCTGGGAATTAGTATTAGTGCTCTGGAGGCTAGGGGTAGTGCAATATGAATCCTGGGAATTAGTATTAGTGCTCTGGAGGCTAGGGGTAGTGCAATATGAATCATGGGAATAAGTATTAGTGCTCTGGAGGCTAGGGGTAGTGCAATATGAATCCTGGGAATTAGTATTAGTGCTCTGGAGGCTAGGGGTAGTGCAATATGAATCCTGGGAATAAGTATTAGTGCTCTGGAGGCTAGGGGTAGTGCAATATGAATCCTGGGAATTAGTATTAGTGCTCTGGAGGCTAGGGGTAGTGCAATATGAATCCTGGGAATAAGTATTAGTGCTCTGGAGGCTAGGGGTAGTGCAATATGAATCCTGGGAATTAGTATTAGTGCTCTGGAGGCTAGGGGTAGTGCAATATGAATCCTGGGAATTAGTATTAGTGCTCTGGAGGCTAGGGGTAGTGCAATATGAATCCTGGGAATTAGTATTAGTGCTCTGGAGGCTAGGGGTAGTGCAATATGAATCCTGGGAATAAGTATTAGTGCTCTGGAGGCTAGGGGTAGTGCAATATGAATCCTGGGAATTAGTATTAGTGCTCTGGAGGCTAGGGGTAGTGCAATATGAATCCTGGGAATAAGTATTAGTGCTCTGGAGGCTAGGGGTAGTGCAATATGAATCCTGGGAATTAGTATTAGTGCTCTGGAGGCTAGGGGTAGTGCAATATGAATCCTGGGAATAAGTATTAGTGCTCTGGATGCTAGGGGTAGTGCAATATGAATCCTGGGAATAAGTATTAGTGCTCTGGAGGCTAGGGGTAGTGCAATATGAATCCTGGGAATAAGTATTAGTGCTCTGGAGGCTAGGGGTAGTGCAATATGAATCCTGGGAATTAGTATTAGTGCTCTGGAGGCTAGGGGTAGTGCAATATGAATCCTGGGAATTAGTATTAGTGCTCTGGAGGCTAGGGGTAGTGCAATATGAATCATGGGAATAAGTATTAGTGCTCTGGAGGCTAGGGGTAGTGCAATATGAATCCTGGGAATTAGTATTAGTGCTCTGGAGGCTAGGGGTAGTGCAATATGAATCATGGGAATTAGTATTAGTGCTCTGGAGGCTAGGGGTAGTGCAATATGAATCCTGGGAATAAGTATTAGTGCTCTGGAGGCTAGGGGTAGTGCAATATGAATCCTGGGAATAAGTATTAGTGCTCTGGAGGCTAGGGGTAGTGCAATATGAATCCTGGGAATTAGTATTAGTGCTCTGGAGGCTAGGGGTAGTGCAATATGAATCCTGGGAATTAGTATTAGTGCTCTGGAGGCTAGGGGTAGTGCAATATGAATCCTGGGAATTAGTATTAGTGCTCTGGAGGCTAGGGGTAGTGCAATATGAATCCTGGGAATAAGTATTAGTGCTCTGGAGGCTAGAGGACAGATGTAGTGCAATATGAATCATGGGAATAAGTATTAGTGCATCTTGGAACACATGTTAACTGTTAGTGCATCCTGGATAGAAGGAAACTAAAGTTAGTGCAATTAAGCCTATTTGAAATTAGATTTAAATACAGCACTTATATCCCGCTTATATAAATAATAATGCTCTTACGAAGTTCTATTTCTTGTAATAATACCAGACGGCCAACACAACACAAAACTCTCATATCTTACTTAATCTCTTAGTATGCAAGATAAATTAGAGATTACATTTCGCACTCAGTATTATTTGTGTATTATTACCGTGCTTTTCTTTTCAGTGAATAGGTACGAATGTTTCAGTTCTAAATATTTTGAAGTTAAGTTCCAACTTCCAGTACAGCTTCCATTTTGCGAGGCGACCATGTAAGGGCGACCCGTTACAGATATTGTTCATGTGGCAAATATTAATTTTAAACTTGTCAGTACCTAATCTGGTCACGATGAGGTACAGCCTCCAAATCTCTATATTAAACAGTAGATAATATTACTTAACAGTAACATAACTCTAGAAGGTATGCATTATGCATGGTTAGCTGACTGAGGTTGCCTCATTATAATCACCAACAACAATATGTTTATTCACTTTATTCATAAACATATTATATTTATTAATATAATCCAGCAGATTACAGGAGCAGTATGTGGTGTGAGGTAGTTAAGAGGGTTAGACTACAGAGGGATAGAGGGACATGTGTTAGAGGATAGAGGGACATGTGTTAGAGTATAGAGGGACATGTGTTAGAGTATAGAGGGACATGTGTTAGAGTATAGAGGGATAGAGGGACATGTGTTAGAGTACAGAGAGATAGAGGGACATGTGTTAGAGTATAGAGGGACATGTGTTAGAGTATAGAGGGACATGTGTTAGAGTATAGAGGGATAGAGGGACATGTGTTAGAGTATAGAGGGACATGTGTTAGAGTATAGAGGGATAGAGGGACATGTGTTAGAGTATAGAGGGACATGTGTTAGAGTATAGAGGGATAGAGGGACATGTGTTAGAGTATAGAGGGACATGTGTTAGAGTATAGAGGGATAGAGGGACCTGTGTTAGAGTATAGAGGGACATGTGTTAGAGTATAGAGGGACATGTGTTAGAGTATAGAGGGACATGTGTTAGAGTATAGAGGGACATGTGTTAGAGTATAGAGGGATAGAGGGACATGTGTTAGAGTATAGAGGGACATGTGTTAGAGTATAGAGGGATAGAGGGACATGTGTTAGAGTATAGAGGGACATGTGTTAGAGTATAGAGGGATAGAGGGACATGTGTTAGAGTATAGAGGGACCTGTGTTCGCGTATTTGTGCCTTGAATCACATGATGCTGCTAAGAGGGGGGGGGGGCTTATTGTTAACCCACACGAGTACTGAACACAAAGCTCACACGAAGACAAGAGTTGGCAAGAAGCCAATGACTCAGTACCTACATTCTTTCTTTGAACCTGTGTAGATTATTGCTTTATTGTGTTAGTAATTTTATCAAGGTAGTTAACAACGCGGTGTTTAAGATCATTCGCCAAATCTTACATTAATCTCATTTCTACTGAGTTGTCATTGCTCTTGTTTCAGTTAAATTTGTTTTTAAATCTTTATCCCTCCCAACCTATAAAGTCCTGTTTCCTAAGTTTACAGCTGATCGTATAAGATAGTTTTCAAAGTTAGACTTCACAGCACTCCGGTCTAAACTGCGAAAGTAGAATATAAGGTCTTGATACGAACAGTGCGCACAGACCTAATTAAAAGAAAGTTTAACGGTTAACCGTTGTAGTTAGTTACTAATCATCGGCTGTAATCTCTGAGATAAGAAGATAAAAGGCAACGAAAACACCCGTAACTAGTGACCTGTAACGAAACATATCGTGTATTGATCTGCCAGGATCGTTTGATGACAGCTTTTAATCTTAGTTAACAATTTGTTTCACCGTAATGCGACAATGCGTTAGTTTTTTATTCTCTTTAATCTTTTGGAGGATTGTTGATTATGCGCACATTTCAAGCAATAACAAGTTAAATATTCTCCGATTCAGTTAAATTTTCGCTTATTCATGTTTTTAGTTTTGCTTGAGAGATGCTTGATGCTGAATTGATCTCATAAGCTGTTAGAAGCAGCTTTTAAAGTATTATATATATTATATAATATATACAGCTCCTATTGCAGTGTGTAACAATAAGTGTAATGTAGTGTGTACACTGTACAGCAGATGAAAATACTTAAAATAAAAATACTGGGAAGTATCCAAGAAGTACGTTCTATGAGGGTAGACTTTAGGGTAGACAAATTTAGGGTAAGAGTTAGGGTAAACAACTTTAGGGTAGACAACTTTACGGTAAGAGTAAGGGTAAGAATAAGGTTTAGGATCAGGATTGGGTAAATTTAAGGGTCCCTAACTCCTAACTGAGTATACCCTAACGTATACCCTTGGTTGTCGGGCTTCTTCAATACTGCCAAATATAGGATCATCAACTGTCATTTTATTATTACTGCTGGGTTTAGACGATGAGACAAGTTTTAAAAAGCTAGATATTTTAATAAGCCATCCAACTATTTATACATAATACATAGTTACATAATACCACATAAATTCTTGTCATTCTGTCCTGCATATTTAGATATTTTGATGCTCGATCTTATGGCGACAGTAGGAATGCTAGAACACTAAAAAGGAAATCAAATTAGATTTAAAATAATGCTAATCCCTTCCGATCACATTTCAGATTTACAGTAACAAGAATAGTAATTAAATAACACTTATTTTAACAACAGACACGTAAATAATTTACTGACCCTGTCTGAACTAGCTATTAGTTTCTGTAAGTCTTGGCGGGTGTGCAGCAATTCTGTCTGCATTTTACCAATACACGCCACTAACACTGAACCGTTCTGAGCCTGAAACAGATTAGCATCTTTTAGTTTAATTAATTTGTTAATTTTTTGACTATCTGATAACAGTTTAATTCAAATCAGAGAGTCAGTGTTTAAAGAAAGGTCTCGTGTTGACTGTTGTTGCCGGTTTCCCTCAGTAGCAATATTTTATTTCTTTCAACTCTGAGCTATTTTAAAACATTCATTCTTGCTAACGATCTCTCTGTACTGTTATATTAAATGAATCAAGTTGGAGCCTTTAGCCTTTCTGAAGAAAGTGCAATTTCCCAACCTGCTCAAATAAGTTCTGCGCACGTGCAATATACTTCTCAGGATCAGTGTAGGCCTCAGTTTCTATGATGTCCAGATTTTCTTCAAGTGCTGATTGAATGTCTTGCAGGTGTGACAACTGAAACGTTTTATTCCTCAGAATAGTATTGTTAAGTGTTAGCTGTTTCATATAAATATAGACCAGGTTTGGTATATTATATGAGACAAGAGAAATACCATCCTAGAAGGCGAGGAGCTGATACTAGACTCCACATACCGGGAGTGCCAATAAGTGCACATAACTATGTTACATGTAACAACGGCTAAATCATCCGCACCAACGATCTCCAGAATAGACGAATTAAACGGACCATACTGACCATCTACCGACTAATTATTCAGTTATGTTGGCTAATTATTCAGGATGTTGGCTAATTATTCAGTTAAGTTGGCTGATTATTCAGGAAGTTGGCGCTGAACGTTAGTACGGTATCTGGTAAACGTTGACTAGATACCGGACTAATATGTGTAATGTGTATGGAGTAACCATTAACACACTAACCTGCTCGGAAAGCATCAGGTCACACCGCTGATTGATACTCTCGCCCACCGTTATCTTCGTCTTTCCCGGCTGAAACAAGTATTTTGCTTGATCTACAGATCTTCGGTTGATTTTGTGTGTTTGATGGCAAATGTTTTGATAAGCTCTTAAGTATTTTAACGGCAGATTTTCACTTTCTCGACCTCTTAGAGGCCTGTAACATGGTTTAACAAGTCAAATCTGCGGTGAAACGAGTGGTCGCTTCTTTCACCCACCCTTTTCATCTTAACTAGAAATCAAAAAAGTAACGGACAAAAAGACAATGTTAAACTAAATGAAACAACCTGCATAGATCTTAGTGTCACATGATAAATCATGAGGAGATCATTGTTGAGCTTGATCTCAATGTTAAATCTGTGGCAACTATGTGGCTGCACAAGGTGCTCAAGGACTATACGATTGGCTGTGTTACTCGCTACTTTAGTCTCATTTACCACTTAACCGTTCAATAACATGCAGATTCATATCTTTATTTTGATTAGATATCACACGCTTATCGTTATCAATCTCACGCTAACCAGTGACTTAGTGATTACTAAGCACTTAGCACACGCTACTTAACATAAGGTAGGAAATGAAAAATGTGTAACCTCGATACTAAACCAATTATTGAGCGATGGTAGCCCCCCCCCCAGTGTAGCTTACTTTGCAATTATCGGGCTCTCTTATCTTTTGTAACTTAGCAATAAGTTTAGTTTGCTGCTACCGCGTAGTTAGCCTTTGCGTGTGTACTTGTAAATTACTATACAAGTACACCATGGAGGATGAATGATGATCTGAATTTGACCCGATCTCAGAAGAAAATCAAGGATTTCAATTATGAAGAAAAGGAGGATGTAGAGTGCTGTGTTGATAGATGGTTCGCTACGATGGCAAAAAATACTGAAATAGACGATGTCGACATTCGTGGAGACATTGACAACGAAATATTAATGTCTATTTATATATCTATTTATATAGGACTATGTCAGACTGGGTTAGGCAAGCAGTAGACCTCGTACGACGGCAGAGTAGGCAGATGAGCACTATGATTTAAAAAGAAAACATTTTTTTAGAGAGGTTGGGCCAAGATAGCCCACGAGCGGATAACATTGAGATGCTCTGCCTACCTCTGGGGTGTGGCAACCCTGGGGAAGGTTGCCGGTGAAATCAGAGTGAATGGTGGAGGATGGTGTAAAAAGTGACATGAGTCAAGATGATACGCTTAAGTGCCAGCTGGGTTTGGAAAATTAAAATGAGACGAGACAGCATATGAGTTAATACTCTAAGTCACCCCGTCTGATCTAGCTCTTCCGGCACAATTAAGCGTTTGGTGCGGTTTGCGAAATTGACAATCGTGGTGATGTGTTGGTTGTCGAATATGTCATTGACAGAGAGGTAGTAGTCCCGGAAATATTGACCTCTTATTTAGGCAATATCCGGACACTGTCCAAGAAAGTGTGAGACAGTTTCCTCTCCGTCGCCGCACATAGGACAAGCACTGGTGTTTGATTTGAAAATTGTGTGAAGGTGTTTGTTTAAGCCGCAGTGACCCGTGATGAGGTGAACTGCAGTTCTGTAATCTTGTCTGTTGTTGCTGAGTGCAGTAGTGTTGAGGTTTTTGATGATGTTGGCGTGCTTGTGGCCGAGTGTCAGTTTGGTGTGTCTGGGCCCATCAGTTAACCAAGTTTCATGATTCAGTCTGTTGACTTTGTTGTAGATTTGACGTTTGATGTAGGATTGTGGAATTGGACACTTTAAAGTGGATTCAATGATTGTACCAAGCTTGGCCAGCTAATCTGCTTTTTCATTCCCCCACAATCCGATGTGTGCTGCAATCCATCGGCATATGATGGAAATCATTGAGTGCCTCAAGACGGAAGCGCTAGAAAACAAGGATAAGGTGATGAGGCTGCAGGACCACTGCAACTGCTGGTGCAGAAGGACGAACAACTACAGTTGTTGATACGTCGGTTGAAGAGACAGTACAAACAACGGTGGAGTCAGGGATTAAGAGCTACATTGCAGCTGTACAAAAGAAAAGCACAAGTGGTACGGTCTGCAACAGTTAAATTCTGAAGAATGTGATGAAGAGTGTGGCTGCAGAGGAGGACAGGAGCAAGAATCTGATAGTGTTTGGACTGAAAGAAGAGGATGGAGAACAGCTTCCAGCGCTAGTTACCGCAGTATTGGAGGAGATCGGGGAGAAACCTCATTTCGAAGCGACAAGAGTCGGCTGGAAGAGGCCAGGTACGGCTATCCGACCAGTCAAGATCACCGTCTCAAGCTCAACAGCAGTTCATCAGATTTTGATGAAAACAGGGAGACTGAGGCTGGCTGAGGCACATAAAGATGTATGGATTTATCCTGATAGATCCAGTGAAGAGCGTGCAGCAATGAAGAACCTGGTAACTGACCTGAAGAAGAAGAGGGCTGAACAGACTCATCTCGACCACTACATCCGTAACGGGAAGGTCTGTAGCCGTGTTAAGAAGCCACCATGAAGTAATTGATGTCTCTCGGACACCGATCAGTATATGTAGGAGTATCGTAAGAGTTTTCGGACGTTATCTGTATTTGAGAGACAATTATATCATATACATGTACATATATTATTATTTGATTGTTTCACACTTTTCCCGACTTTTCACATTTCATCATTTTATTACCAGGTGGAGGTGATGTTATTGAGACTTTAAGCGGCCAAAAAAACTCCTGTTTTGAAAGTTGTCCTCTGTACTTGTTTCACTGACCCACGCTTTTTAGCATTTATGCATTTCGTCATTTCGGCCCATTTTATATGTTTGTTCGATTTACTGTACATTTGTATACTTGCTATTTTGTAAGGTTTCAATCCAAAAATCATTTATTTTTTGTGGGTTCCAGTATCTGAGTGAGCAGATTTAGGGGGACAAGAAGTAAAATAAGTGTATCGTGAGATTTAGAAAGTCATATAACTGATAAAAACATTGAGGCAATGGTTATCAAATCGAGTTACAATATGTCCATTGTTACTTCTTTCTAAGGAAAATCTCACTCTTTTTTATAAATGATAATGATTTAAACGTTTTTAGCTTAAAAAAGCTCATTAATTTTAATAACTGGAAATTCAAAGGTAGCACTTCGCAGTGCGAAGAAAAATGGACAGCAATTGGATTAAAGTTAAACTTTTAAAAACTGGGACAGTTAATCAGCGAACAAAATGTATACTTAACAAAGCAACGAAACCAAGGCCAAGTCGTATTCTCAAGTTAGCAAAAGTTTTGGAGGAAGTTTGGAATCAACGATGAAGTATTTAGAAGATATTGATCTTGATCGGAGGAGATTTAAAACTTTCTGAACCCGGTTTTGTCCGGTATTGTCAGGTTTTGTCAGGTATTCTCAGGTTTTGTCCGGTATTCTCAAGTTTTGTCCGATATTCTCAGGTTTTGTCCGGTATTCTCAGGCTTTGTCCGGTATTCTCAGGTTTTGTCCGGTATTCTCAGGTTTTGTCCGGTATTCTCAGGTTTTGTCCGGTATTCTCAGGTTTTGTCCGGTATTCTCAGGTTTTGTCCGGTATTCTCAGGTTTTGTCCGGTATTCTCAGGTTTTGTCCGGTATTCTCAGGTTTTGTACGGTATTCTCAGGTATTCTCAGGTTTTGTCCGGTATTCTCAGGTTTTGTACGGTATTCTCAGGTTTTGTCCGGTATTCTCAGGTATTCTCAGGTTTTGTCCGGTATTCTCAGGTTTTGTCAGGTTTTGGCAGGTATTGTCAGGTTTTGTAAGGCATTCTCAGCCTCATTCGGTAGTTCCATGGGTGATAAGCAGTCTACAAACTGTCTCCACTTCTTCCAGACTGCTAGCGATGCTGTCTTGTAGAGCTCGCTGTGGAACACAGGATTCAGGAAGCTGTTAATCGGTATCACCACGAGTGCAAAGATCTCAAATACTGTTGTAGAAGCTGGATATTTTGAGATGTATTGGTAATACAGGACGGTGAGAATGAAGGGAGTCCAGCAGATAAGCTGTGATCCCACCATCAGAGCCACCTTTAAAGTTAGCTGGACTCGGACGGAGTCCTGACCTTCCCCTCCTCTTGGAACTACCGCCAAATTTAATTTCCTCTGTTTTAGAATGATCTTAATGTATGCGGTGATGACAATACTAAGTAGGACCACGATACTTGTGCAGTAGAGGATTATGTAGATCTCGTAGGAGTCTTGGGATTTGAATATGTTGTGGACACAGAAACCTGTATTACCGTAGTAGCTAATCTCTGTGACATCAAAAATCTCCCTATTTGACGTGACACTGCTCAGGTCGCTGATCATTCTGTAGATATCATCATCATCTTTGTGGAGCATTCCCTTGTGAACCATAGCAAGACGAGACCGGTTAATGGGATTTGTGCCGAAGAAAGGATTTTGATCCAAGTGACTAAAGAATATTTTCGTTCTGAAAATATCTCCAATCGACGAGACTGGCATCAATGGAAGAACCGAGTGTAGTAAATTGAGAATATTCAGAAAAGTGACCCACATAACGATAACTCTCGCTCTAATATGAACCACTATGCTTTGGCATGACAAGAACCTGGTGATGCTTATAGAAGCTATCAACATAAGCGAGCCGTGAGACGAGAAGGAAAATAGGACTCCAAGAAAAGAACAAAATGGGCTGGCTCTCCACATTTCTTCCAGCTGACAGTACTCGCCTTTTTTACCGAGGACTAAAGCGGCTATTACTATAGAACACAAATATACTCCCATGAGGGTATCATGGAAGAAAATTTGCATCAAAAACACGTTGTCAACCTGTTTTACTTTAGTGTTGCACTTCATATTCCAACACTTGTAACCTTCTTTCATGTTCATTATAACTATCAAGATGCCCATGATGATCGTTACAGTGAAGACAAAGTTCGATTTGATGAGGAAATCAGAGGAAGACAGCTCCTCAAACTGGCATGTTCCACATTCATCAGCTCCATTAACACAGTCCTTCACGTTATCACAAACCTTGTCGTTACCAACCCACTCAGCTGTCTCATTAGGACTGCAATAAAACCGTCC